GCCTGTATCAGCACTGGAAGCAGGGTCTCTGCCCTGACACTGCTTGCCAGCCAGTGTGGGGGGTGCAGGTGCAGCAACACTAGGAGTGGGGGCTCTGCCCTGCCGCCGCTTGGCAGCCAGCACAGGAGGGTGCAGGATGCAAGTATGGCAGCGCTGGGAGCGGGAGCTCTGCCCTACCGCTGCTTGTCAGCTGGTGTGGAAAGATGCGGGATGCGAGCGCACCAGCATCAGCATTGGAAGCGGGGGCTATGCCCTTCTGCCACCTACCCCCTTCCACCTGGAGTGAGCTGCACCTGCATCCTGCCTTGGCCCCCCCCCACACCGTTTCCCTCCCCCCTCCCCAACAGACTTACCAGCTGGAAGCAGCTATGTCAGCTGCCTGTTTAGTCTATGGCTGAATCACCAAATCTTTTATGTATCAATTCAGAGCTTTTAACTGGTCTTCCGATTAGATTTGAATTTGGAGATTTGGTTACCGAATCAGGCCGAATGTCCTCCAAATCAAATCGGCTGCCGAAGCTTCACACAGCCCTAGTATCCAGGTTGCAGCTATATTGGTCTAGAGGAAAAAGCATTCAGGACTCATGGTGGAAATTATATCTTTTATTAGACCAACTAGATTTTTGCAAAACAAAATTCTTTAATTGCAAGTTTTCGAGTACAAGCACCTTCATCAGGCATTAGAGAAAAGATTATAAAAGTTCTCTTGGATAGACATGAAAGTCTGTATTTCACAAGAGATTTGAAGGTGGTAAAATCTCCTGTTTGGAAAAGATCACTTACAAAAAGTGATTTTCACCATAGAAAGGTTGGAGACCACTGGTCTAATAAAAGATATCACCTCTACCACAAGTCCTGAATGCTAAGAAGATAGAAAGCAGACAGAGGATAGACAAATGAATGTAAAAGAGAAGCATTTGGCCTATAAACTTTTTTTCTAATTGATCACGATGATCCTGGAAGAGCATTGCTGACCATCAAATTCTAGGATGTGATTGCAAGGATTATAAAATCAGAGCCCTGCAGTGCCATTTTTTATGGAATCACTTTTCAGAGTTAGAGATGTACTTTAAATGCAGTTAGGTTTCATAAGCGCGCACACACAGTCAATGATAGCGTACCCTCAGATATCGTTGGCAGGAACAATGTTAGCCAGACCCCAAACTTCAGAATAGATGGTGCCCCTGCATCTTTCCCAACCATTTTAGAACAGTATTTCAGACCAATTTTTTCCAGAAAGCCAATCAATCTCATAAACAATCTAAGAACGCTGATAAGCAGTTGTTTCTCAATGGGGGTTTTACTGTTAATTAGTTGTCAAAAAGATAAAAAAAGGAAAAAACCCTAGAATGCACTCCTTTTAGCTCCCAAATTTATCAGTAACTATAACCAATTCCAGCAGGCAACAAACCTGTTATTTAAACTTTCATCTTTCTGATCAGTCCAGATTTTTTACTGCCCAGCTGTCAAGAGAGAATTGAGACTTGACAAAGCAAATCTCTGGCTTATACACTCAATGAAGTATGCCTGAAGAAACATTTTTAGTTGTAGGTATATTTATAGCCTCAACTTCTCAAACTGCAAAACCTTTCCAAGATAAGAGTTGTGATATAAAGAAACAGATGAAAAAATGATGAGCTGATGATGAACAGAAAACACATGCTCCAATAGCACAGCAAGTTATAGTATTATTGTTGTCTGTATTACGGTAGTGCCAAAAAGCACTCCTCATGGACTGGCACCTACTTATACCTCTCGCACAATAACAATGGACAATGCAGGAA